CCCCCTCTTCCCCACCAAAAAAAAATCAGATCCGATGCCTCGCGTCAAGAAACTCCTTTCTGCATGATCGGGGTTTTTTTTTGGTGGGGGGTGGTGGTGGAGATACATTCCTCCATAGCCGAGTGTAACTCACACACCTTCAAGCCAGCTAAAGCTGACAGGCGAAAGAATAAGACGAGCGAATGCAAATAATTGATAGATTTGTTTCTGGACTGGCTAAGCAGCAGGGTCGACAGCGCTCACTACGGACAACGCTGGTCTTTTCCACTCCACCCCCCACCTCACCTCCAGTTTTCCTAGTCTAAGATTTCCCTAGTCTGTCCCCCCGGCGTTAGGAAAGAAAATCAGCAAGTGCCCAAATGATCTGCATCTTTTTTTAGGGGAAAAAAAAAGAATGGGCAGCAAACAAACTTCACGCGATCTGTTTATTCCTTACCGAGGAAGTCCAGTTTTCGATTTTTTTATCCTCTCTTCTTGCTGGTGCAGTAATTTAATCCTCCATGAGCTCATCGAAAAGCAAGAGCAAACGGACTTGACGGTTATTTTTGTAGTCTTTTTTTTTTCCTTCCCCCCCACCAGCCCCGGGATGCGTATCCGACACAATCGCTCCTTCTGTAGGACTCTTTCTCTCTGTGTGCTCCTCTCCTTCTGAAACAGACTGACGGACTCCCCTAAGAAACGCCCTCGATGACTGTCAAGCTTTATGATTGGCTATCTGCTGCTAGTGTCCGCCCCCTACCGACTACCATTGGTCGGTCTTGCCAAGAAAATGACGTTATTTTCTAACGGTACTATGGTAACAAAGAGTTGGGAGCGCTTGGGATATGTAGTTCTCAAAAGAGTAATCTGCAGTACACAACACTAGTGTTTCAGATGACGATCATCGGGCGCTCCGAACAACAACTCCCAGAAAGCTTTGCAACGTGCAGAAAATATCCGTTCCCCCCCCCCTCCCCGGCCATTATGCGCTTGCTCGGTGGAGAAGCGATGGCGTATATAGCTTGCTGTGAATGCGGATGAGCAAGGAGTAGGCTTGGCTCTTAAATTACGAGGCAGGGTAAGGTGTTTTAGGTCGTTTTGTAAGTCAAGTGCGGTAACAAAGGAGGGGCTCAACGATCTTCCCCCTCTTAAGTGGGGTTTTCGACGCGTAAGAAATATTTGGATGCCGTGATAAATTAATAAAAGGGAAGGTTGCGAGCGGACGTGGGGGAGGAAAAAAAAAGTGACCCGGATTGCAAATTGCTGACCAACCAGGTAGGTGGAGCTTTGTCGATGTGCTCTTGACAACAACAGCAAAAAAAATACTGCCTGTTGTGAGAGTTGGTGAGGCCGCCTGCGCCTTGGGGGAAAAAAAACTAACGTTAAGGTGCTCTTTTTTTTTTCTACTTGATTCATCATAAAGCCTCTGGGGCTACGTTATTGCACATAAATCCAGCCTTTCAGGCACGGTCTGTTTTTCACTTTTACAGCAGTTGCATGCATGCTCTGTAGAGGATAATCCTCTCTCCTTACATCTGGGCAGTGATGTAAGGGAATTACTCTGCAGTACTGATGTAGTTGCACTCGTGTCATCTGTCAAAGCGAGTCACATGATGACACCTTGCGTGTGTGTTAGTCACGAAATGTAAAGCTGACGTCTCTTCGCGTTTTTATGGCACAGGGGGAATAATTCCCTAGAAGCTGTCTCCCCCCCAGATCTAAAAATGGAATTGTGACGGATCTGTAGGTCTTTTTTAGTGAGGATAAATCCTGTTACTGAATGATCACCCTCTTGTGTATTTCAAGAAATGCTGCTCTGTGAGTTGTAGTTGGGTCTGGCTATTTTAATAACCAGGTTTTTTAAGCGGACGGATACAGTAATTCTGGTGTATGACAGTAGGCGATTTACGAGGAATGCGGGTATAAACTCTTCCCATTCTAGAGTTGTGTATAGCCGTATTAATCTCCCGGGTGAGGTATTGTGTACTTGCTTTTAGAAAAACTGCAAACGCAAAACATGGAACATACTTTTATTACCTGCGCTTAATAAAAACGACTTTCATTACTTTGGTTTGAGCAGTGTCGTACAGTATACTGTATAAAGTAGTTTAACCAATACTGAAAAGGTTTAGGTAAGTTGTCTCCTTTGATATTACATACTCCTATTTTTTCCAAAGAACTCTTGTGGTATAAATTTAGCAGTATCCAATCTGGCTTACACAGCCTTGAAAAGAGATCATCAAACCTTAATTATTTAATGTTACATTAACATTTTAACTGGAACTTCAGATAGATGTGTAGGCCAACGGTATTCTGCTCTGGTCCTGCAGTGTCTCTGTAGGTTTTCTCCTAAAGAAGTAATAGTCGAGGAGCTGGGAGAGGTGATAATTGGACTAGTTTAAGACATCAGCAATTGACAGAGGCCAATAAGAACTAAGTGTCATGAAAACCTGCAGACTCACTGGCACTCATGACTGGACCACTGCCTTGGGCTATTTTTGGTCTCTGCATTTTGCTGTGTACAACTGTATTTATGTTTTGTGTAAATGATGCACATGCAGGTAATATTATAGGATTACAATTTTTTTCATCGAAGTGCTGTTGGGTAGACAAGCTGGTTGCGGCTTTGTCAATTCGGTGTTTAATGTTTTCCTGTCTTATCTAAATGCTTTGTAAGTCTGGGCAAATCTTAACGCCTAGCACACCTTTTACTTAACTTAATTCGTCCCTCGTTCTGTAATGAAATACTACATCAATGGAAAGTTTGTTCCACCATGTTTGAGGCGCTTGGAGGATTTGTAATTACATAACATACAAGCTTCTAGAACCTTTAAATTTGGTAGAAGAAGGAAACTTGCCAGAGAATCGGGTTGTTAGACTTGCTGTTTACGTTTCTGAAAGAAATCTTTGCCCTACTGCGTTTACTGTGGAAGCAAGGCACAGCGGGGCTTCGAATGTTGAATACCCTGAAAAAGAAATTGCAGAAGGTCTAATTGGTTAAAATTCCCAGTTATACGAAACTGTGTGGGGGGGAAACTGGGTCAGCGGGCTGGGTCGTGTGTAAGTATAATGAGCCTCTGAGTCACTTACTTAAGGATGTGACTTCAAATGTCCTTTCCCACTTCTGTAGGGGTGGGCAAAGATTCAGGTACTCGTGTGTCTCATTAACTTGTTTCTCTCCTCCATCTCAGTCTCGTGTTGCATCCCTTGACTGTTTTCTGCAGTTACCTGCAGAATTCTAGAACCATCGCTCTGACCTACATCCGTGCTATCCAGGTCTCGGGGGGTTGCCGTGGAAGAATGGCGCGCCACCGTGTTGAGCTCCCTCGCGCTGGCACTCCGCTGGTGAGCTCCTGGCCGTGGAGCTTCGTGGGTCTGAGTTTGAGCAGTCTCTTTGCTCCGTGTGGTCGGCGCAGTGCCGGCTGCTGCTGCTGCCCGTATAAATCGGCGTCTTTGCGAGTGACCCTTTTTGGGTTTCAAAGTCGGGCAGGGGTGGGAAAACGTCATACAGGCTAGAGAAACCGTTTTCCCAAGTGATGCAAGTGTTCGTTTCTTTTGCAGAGTTATCCATCTAGTGAATGCTCTTTGTGAAAGAAACCAGCATGCTGAGTGAGGGCACCTGATTTCCTTAGAGCTGTAGGAGATTCACAAAGGGTTTTAAATGTGTGAATACTGGATAATGCAGTCTTTTGCGCACCTGGGAGCGGTCATACAGACTGAACTCCCAATATTTGTTTTTCTCATGTTACAAAAGTAGTGTTCGTACTCTGAATGAAATTAGACGATTTTGCGACTTTGATTCTGTAGCTGAAACTGCTCCAGCAGAACTGCTAATTAAACGGTTGCCGATGTGCAGAGTGCACGCAGGCATTTTTGAAATGCTAATTTGCAGAAGTGGGTTTTGTTGCAGCTTCGTTACAGGTGATCGCTGAACAAAGAGCGTTTTTTTTTAATATTTTTTTCCCTGCCAGATCGCTCGGTTTTGAAACGAGCAGACGCGCTGTGCTGGAAGTGGAATGGTTTGATCTAAGCTGTCATGTTACAGATCACGATTCCCCCCGAGAGGCAGAAATAGAGAAAATGGGCACAAGTGCGTTGTTGTTCTGTGCAGCCGCGACACGAATCATGTGCTGACCTCGCGTGCTACAATAACACCGCATGTGTTAGCTAAGCTGTTGTGCACAGTGGCAGCAGTTACTGAAGCAGCTATCACTGATACAGGTAACAAGACTAGTGCTGCCTTTCATTTCCTGATCTGAGTCTGTTGTTGCACTGATTCGACTTTGCCTTCCTGTTTGTCATACATTTTATTTCTTTTGCGTTTCGAAAGCAAGGCTACAGTATTGGTGTTTAAAAAGGTCAGGTAGGAGTCTGTGCCTTTGTCTGGCTTCTTGGTGTCTTAATTAACATTCTTTTGATTTGGGGGAGAGTGATACCGTATTTAAACACGGTGGAGCAGTGGTTGGCATTGTTGCCCTGCAGTGCTGGGGCCCTGGGTTCAATTCTGTGGTGCTGTCTGTGTGGAGTTTGTATGTTCTCCCTATGTTCGTGTAGGTCCTCTGGATACCTCCCACAGTCCAAAAAGTCCAGATTAACTTAACTTGCAGGTTAATTGGCTTCTGGCAGAATTGCCCATGGTGAGCATGTGTGTTTCTGCGTCTGCCCTGCAATGGACTGACGTCCCACCCAGGGTGTATCCCGTCTTTCGCCTGTTGCTTGACGGGATAGTCTCGGGCTCCCCAGTGGCTCTGAATTAGATGAAGCCATTGGAAAAGGGATGAATCTGTTAAAAAAAAAAACTGCTTTTTTAATATGAAATACACATGCTATTAAAAAACAGCTACTAATTGCTTAGTGTTAATACCTACCATTAACACCGTTAACTGCGTGCTGTTCAGTTTTATGACTACAAATCAAACTTGCAGTTGCTGCAGGCCTCCCTCTGAGAGTTCAGGTTTGATAACGGATAAGTGGTAACAGTAAAAGCTTCTAAATGTGAAACATTAGTTCAGTTTTATCTGCCTCCTATGCTTTTGGATTGCAGTCATTAAAAGGCTTCATCATCTATTGTATTTTTTTAGGGAAGTTATGTGTTGGTATTTAGGCCTTTAAATATTCTGTTGTGGCTTCACATACATATAGAGGAGTCGCTGGTTTTTGTTTTTGTTTGTAGTTTTTGATCAAGGAGTAAACCAAAATCAAGATTAACTCGTGACTGCTCTGCTCCCAGTGCAGTCTGACAGTCTATTACCGCCTTCGGTAAACGGGTCCAGTGACATACTTGGCTGTACTGCAGCATTTTGTGGTTCACTTACTTGCTCTAGATGTAATCGAGTGTAACTTTACTTGGTTTTTTTTTTTTAGATGTGGCTTTGCTTTCTGGATTGGGGACAGACCGGAGAACGTTACAATGACCGGTGGCTTAAACCGTTTTGGGTGTCGCGGTGTTATTTAAATTTTTTTTTAATCAAGCAATTTGAAACATGGAAAAATTCAGTCTTCACTTTAAGAGCGTACGTAGGCTGCGTCTGTAGCCGTGTGTAGGTGAATGTGCCGAGTACATTGTGGAGGCAGGAACAGATCGTTTGCGGGAGCTCCTTGTTTCTGCTCTTGAAAGGGTAGCTGTTGGTACACTACTCAGCTTTGAAGCGTCTTGCTTCTGTCACTTCACAGCATGCTGCCACTCCTTCACACTTATTTATGCCGGCGCTGTCTTTGTGCCGCAGGCGGAGGGCCACCGCATCCGTCATCCTGAGCGATGGCTTTCGCTCTTGGCAGCCTGGACGGGTGGTTTGCGGCGCCGCGGCTCGGTGTTTCGGTGAGGTGGCCGCAAACCGGGCAGCAGCCCGAGCGTGGTCTCAGGCCGCGCGGCGCCACGTTCCCAGGTGGTCGAGCTGGACCGGCGCGAGGCGGATTTTCACCTGCTAAATGCCGTCTGCCGCAGACGTGCGGGGGCGTCCTTTCAGCCACATCGCCCCGCAACTCGCGGCTGGCAGTCCACTGAAGCTCCGCAGGTGTGAGCCTGGTCAGTACCTGGGTGGGAGACCTCCTGGGAGAGCTGAGGCTGCTGCTGGAAGAGGTGGGGCCAGAAGGTGGCACTCACCCTGCGGTCCATGAGGGTCCTAATGCCCCAGTATAGTGACGGGGACACTATAATGTCAAAAGGCGACATTCTTCGGATGAGATGTAAAACCGAGGTCCTGACTTTCTGTGGTCTTTAAAAAAAATCTCAGGGCGTTTCTCGAAAAGAGTAGGGGTGTAACCCCGGCGTCCCGGCCAAATTTCCCCCTGGCCTTTACCAATCATGGCCTCCTAATAATTCCCATCTATGAACTGGCTTTATCCCTCTGTTCTCCTCCCTACTGAAAGCTAATGTGTGGTGAGTGTACTGCCGCACTATGGCTGCCATCACATCATCCAGGTGGGGCTGCACACTGGTGGTGGTGGTGGTGAAGGGGAGACCCCATTACCTGTAAAGTGCTTTGAGTAGAGTGTCCAGAAAAGCACTATATAAGTGTAAGGAATTATTATTACATTGCTAATTGTACAAATTTGTGTGTTGATAAAATTAAAGTAACATTTCCAGTAGTGGCCCTTGCGTCTATGCAAGGGGACACTAGCCAATTAGGAAAGGGGATAAAATAATCCTATTTATGTTGTCAGACGGAGAGTACCGAGACAAAAGTACAGAAACAAGATGCGTTGATCTTGCATTGCATAGCATATACTTGCAAGATTTGCATAGCATATACTTGCAAGATTTGATATGATCTTTTTCACAGCAAGAGTTGCGTTTTTCGTTACAAAAATGAATGAGGCAAAAGTCTTCGCTGAACACAATGATCTTGACCATGAGAAAAACATGCATGCTCTGCTTGTAATAAACAAGAGGGGTGTAGATTGAAATTCAGTAGTCCGCATTACAGTTTGCAGATCTTCCCATGGCCTTGGGTTGAATTGCGAAACGTTAAATAAAGCTGCCCACACGGAATGCGTATCTAAAGAACATCTTGTCTGCATTTTTGCTCGCATTCAGGGTCCCTGCTGCCTGGATCATTTAAAAAGGCCGCTGAGGCTCTCGCTTGTTAGCACTGCAGAAGGGCACGGCGAGAGCCCAGGAGCACTTCAGGGGTGTGTAAAGCAGGAGAAGAGTTTCGTGGAGTCACAGCACGACGACGACCTACATCTACCCTGCCCAGTGTAGAGTCCGTCCATCACTGTTGACGGCGTCCTGCTGAGCAGCTGGACCAGATCGGCTGAAGGACCGACGGGAGCAGTCTCTTTCCTGTTGCACTTGCTCGCTCGGTGCGACCTGCAACTTCTCTGGATTCGCCAAAGTGTTTAGGTGCGTCACTGAAACTGAATCAGTCATTCAGCTCCTGGAAACAAATGGATTTATGCGTCTTAACGCTGAACACCGCTGTCTTTATAGGCGTCTTCAGACCATCCTGGAAGGAGTTAAACGCTTTGAGGGGGGAAAAAAAATTCTACCAATTAAATTTGAGCTCTGAGGAAGGCCAGCCCAGAAACTGTTCAGGACTGGTGTGGGCAGCTTGAATGACACGGTGGTGACTGCGTTCGTTAATAGTCCAGGAGTTTCTAGGCCCTGCGTTTAGTAAGATAATTCATTCTAACTGGGGGGAAAAACCTTAAAGGGATAGATTTCTTAAAAGTCAATGTAAAACCTTTAATATGAAGTGTTCCGTTTCCCATGTTACTCATGCATTTTAATGTGTACAATTCAAGAGCAAAGAAGCAGGCAGGAGAGATTGGTGAGGAGTCCCAGGGTTGCGTATGCATTACAAAATGAATGAGGAAACATTTTTGTTGAACACGATAATCTTTACCATTAGAAAAACATGCACGCTGTGCTTGTCATAAACAAGAGGGGTGTAGATTGAAATTCAGCTTGCCACCCATAAAACTTCCCTCAGGAAGATGCTACCGGCCTGTTAAAACCAGCACTCCCTGCTGTCTGGACCGCTTCTTTCCTAGTGCTGTCTTTTTGCTTAACCAGAATTCCTAGTTATATATGCACTGTCTTAACAATGCCAGTTTGTTTGATATAGGTGGAATGTTTCGCAGCACCACATACACCAGAGTAAATTCCTTGTAGGTGAAATGTGCTTGGCAAATAAAGGTGATTCTGATCATACTCATTTACTGTACATGAGAAATGTTGTGGATATCCTCGTGAAGCAGCAAGTTCAAATGTTTAGACAAGTTGCATTCTTCACAACCTGTTAGACAAATTAATTCAGAAGACGGTTGTTCAAAACCTTTAAATTACAATGTTCTCCTCATGTTAATTGAGTCTACTGAAATTATAGAACAGCCCAATTAAGTTTGTCCAAACTGCTATCGGAGCAATGCCTGCTGTCTGATTGTGGCAGGTAGCTGTGGTCGACTGTGCTGTTAGCCTCTGTTGTGTGAAACGGTTTGATAAACTACATGATCAGAAGCCAGAATGCAGGAGAAAGAACAGACCCACGCACTAAGAGCCTTCAGAACAGCAAACGCACTTTGGCAAGGTTACAGGAAGGAACAAAGAAATGAGAAAAGAGGTTCTATACAGGGCCTGTGTTCTTGTGATTGAGTGCAGAGGACCAGAGAGCACGTCGTAGTTATTTCATCAACTTCTGGAGTGCTTTTTTTATCATGTTTCCATGAAAGCCAAGCATTTGATCACGTCAAGTGAGTTTTATCCTGCAGCCAGGGAAATAAATCTGCCATTCTCTGTGCAGCACTTCATATGTATTTAGACGGATGGGTTTGACCGGTTCTTAATGTATCAAATACTACATAACCTGAATGTTAACGATGAAACTGAAGAAGCTTAAGGCGCGAGTTTTTGAGACATGGCAGGAATTTCCCACACGAGGTAACGTTTTTTTCTTCTTTTCAATGTGTACCCTTGAACAGTTCCGGAAGTCTTTATTGTAGCTGACCAATGTAAGCACTAACCCCATCCATGTAGAAAATACGCGTTGTACATTTGCATAAAGTAGCCTTTCACAATTCAGTTGATCAAATACAAGTCAAATTTCTTGCATTTTTTTCTATCCTTAGTTCTGGTTCTGTTACAAATGTATTTGTACTTTTAAAAAGTACAAGGCTTCATTACAGGAATTTTTCAATCCAAGTCCACTATTTTTATCCTTCAGGTTATAAAATACTGTATTCTTGAAACTCTTAGTATCCCGGTCCTATTTAACATTGAAGAAGATCTCTGTGAAATTACCGTTACCTCAGCTCAACCCTGACGAGTGATTACAATGGTATTTTCCTGTGTTTGTGAACGTTATTTTGCCGGGTTTGTAAAAACCTCTAAAGTTTGCAGGTTCCACGCTAGCTTTTCATAATCATGCACTAAAGCAGAAAAATTCTGTTAACATTACAACCCAATCCGGTCGTGCTCATTTTAAGCCTTATGTTGCCTCGGAAAACTATTTTTTTGTAACGGGGGGGGGAAAACCCCCATGATGAAATAACAGTAATCCCAGCTCTGTTTACGTCTACCTGTGTGGAGCAGGTCTTCAGTCTCATCTGGCATCCGGCAGCTTGGCTCCAGCTATGTAAACGAGTATTATATTTAAATAGAGGGATGCACTTCTGCCTGGGGAACATGACTGGCTCTAAACCAAGCCGCTCTCCGTTTGTAGATCTTGGCTGGCACCCACAGGAAGTACCATTTCGACATTCACCGGGACTCCAACAGGCCAGGAAGGGAAAAAAATCCATTGGGATTGAATCGCAACACTTTTTTTTTTTTCAGTGATTGGATGGTATTTGAAAAGAACACTGTAATACTAGTGGGTTTTTTTTTTTTCAGAGGAGCTGCCAGCGTTTCTAATACAAAACCTACCTTGTCCTAAACAAACATTTGCAAATTGACTGGGCACTGTTTTTTTTTTTTTCCCCTCTCTCCTATGCAGTTGCAGTCTGGTGTAAAATTAAATTGCTAATGCTCTAGCAGTAAAAGTTCCAGTGAATGATCATGGGGCAGTTATCCCTGATGGCTTGTTATTGATCTGTCTTGCTCAGTTCCCCTGTCTGCCTTCTTTCTGAAACATGTCATTAAATATTTGTGGAATATGGATTCTGAGGTTTTTACCCCCAATTTCATTTATTTTTTAAAATAACTGTGACTACGATAGCCTGAGGCACACAGCTATTATTTGAGGGCATCCTGGTGACTTGGGTCAGGCGTGATCTCTGCGGCAAGGCCTGAGTGCCATTTTTGAGCTGGGGGAATCCATGAGCTCCTCTCACTCGCAGATCACAAGAAATCTGACCGTGCGGCTTTGGTTATTGCTGGCTCTCTGTGATGTAGCAAGGCGTGCATGAGGTGTTTTGAGGTTTCCGTCAAAATATATTTGTTTCTCCGTGTATATATATATTTTTTTTTAGAGTATCGGCAGTGCAAGGCTTTGAGCCATGAGTTCTTGTAAAATCCTCAAGTGAATTATGCGATCTGGAATGCAGACTTGTTTTTCAGAAATGTTTAGGCTGTCTTCCTCTTTTTTTTTTGTCTTTGACACTGTAGACCAATTTAAAAAAAAAAAGCAAAACTCTAAAGGCAGCGGTAAATGGCATCGCATAACTCTGCAGGTAACAGGTCAGACGGAGCAGGGTGGCCCCGGGGTTGGCTGGGATCTTCCAGAATAAGGCTGAGACTATTCCAGAGGTTTCTCCTCTGGCAAACGGTGAGCCCTGCTACCGGCTGGCCGCCTGTCCTGTCTGGCGCTGTGGGCAGGCTGCAGACGAGGCTGAAGGGACCTGCAGCTGCCCTTGCAGGTCTTGCTCTGGAGCTGTGCTCCTCAATCCTGTTCCTGGAGGGTTTCCCCCCAGTGAGCATTCCAGGACTAATCTGTACAGACTGTTACCTAACCATCAGCTGCTGAAAATATGGCATTATCTACGAAATCTGCTTGGTCAGTAAGGAAGCTTTACAAGAGGAATTGTATTTCCTCCTAGGAGCTTTTTTGATGCCATCTGAACTTGACCTAGCTGGACCCTTATCTGTATTACGGTATAACTCATGCCCCACATCTCCACTAAAGGCCTTTAAAGACTAATTAGGTGACCTAATTATTGCATTGTCTGCAGCGCGCAGTGAAGTCCCTGCTGGCCCTTGTGTGTGGGTGCGCTGAGCAGGCTGGAGTCGGAGCGCTCCAGGTATCGACGCGCGCCTGACATAGAGGAGAGCGGAGTCCAGTGTGTGCTGATGGCGTTCGCAAGCAGTGACCACTCCCCTGGTCACCCGAGTCTCCGCGAGCACACTGCACTTCTTCTGCAGGCCAGCTGGAGTTTCCTGATACAGGCCCACTCTGGCTCACTCTCCAGTGGTCATGTGGTATTGTTCTGCAATTCAGGTGCCATCAAGGACCTCAAACTTAAAAAAAGCTTTTCCATCACTATGGAGTGGACACGGGACCCAGGAGGCTTAACGAAAATAATAATTTGCAATTGGGAAAATGGATTCAACCCTCTCCTGCAGTTTGAGGTCATGCATGGTACCAGAACAGTGTACATGAACACAGACCCTGTATGCCACCTAAACTGCCTCCTAAGGGCTTTTTGAGACTGCAGAGCTGCTTTAGGTTTGAGCAATATAATGTGACCACACTGTTAAAACAGAAGAAGCAAAAGGGATATTAATCACTGACGCTTATTGATGTTTAAAGAATTGGTTCTTTATGCGTTTGTTTTTCTTTTCTAGCAGGTTCATTGATTGTGAAAATTCCAAGCAATGGATGGGGACAAGGCAGCTGCTTCAGAGAGGATTTTGCTGGAGCCATACAGATACTTACTGCAGCTGCCAGGTAACTGGATTTGATATCCCGAGTTGTATAGCACAATGACTGGCTTCAGGATGATCTTTCCAGACTCCTCTGGCCCAGATACCGGGAGTCCTGTTGTGCTCATAGCCTGAGCTAAAGGATTGAGAGCACTGTGTGGTGGGACTGAAGTTCATCTAGATTGCTTATTTTCAAACAGATTGGCCAGCTGAGTTGAGCTCTTGCTCTCAGTTAACGTGTCTTTTCAGTTACCTTAGAGGTCAAAGGAGCTGGGGAGACAAATAACTGCAAAATCCTGACTTTGTAGAAAAATGTTACCAGCCAAAATCTTTCCTTTCCTCCGTATTGAAAGGCAGTGCTGTCTCCAGCTGCAATTAGATGAAAAAAATCTATACTTGCTATCCTATTTTTTTTGCACCTGGAGTGAGTGGTTTGCCAAAACTGAGAGCTTCATTACAGGTTACAGAAACTTGAGCCTTTTCTTACAGTGGAGCTTAACAAAACCTTTGACTCTGGACATCTTTTTTTTTTCTGGGTGGAATTGGTCTTGTGTTCTGTTGCCGTAATAGGAAAATTGGGCTGTACGTCGTCAAGGAATATGTGCTAAATGACTAGAAAGTTTATTGTTGCTAGTAAAATCCCTTTTTTATTTAGAATGACAAAACAAAATGGTGAAATTGAAAAGTGAAAAAAATGTTTTTCTTCCAAAAAGTCATTACTTGGCGACTGGGGTGTTAAATTGCAGTTTTGTAGTATAGGATCTAGATTCCATCCTAAATAAATTCCACAAAAACAACATAAACAGAGAGATGCAGAAGATCCTATTCCTATCGGATGAATTAAATCCACTTTAAACGACTGCATTTCTAGGTTTTTATGACAGCACTTAGCAGTTAGTGTGCATACAAATAGGTGCTTGCTATGATAATTAATGGGCTCATTTGCAAAAAATAAAATCTGTTTGGAGAAAAATTAATTTGCTGCGCATCTGCACATATTTGCATGTACACCAGCTAACTTATCAGTGGGTAGGAAGACTACTTTGAAAGACCCTTTGACTAATTTGAGTGTACCAAGTCTTTTATACTAGGGGAAATAGCACTACATATGTTTTGGCCATTGATACATTTTGAAATATTTACTCATTTTTAATACTGCATAGCTTTCGATTTTTACTTCCAAATGAAAACGTTAATCCGAGGGCTGCTTTAAGTGCCTTTGTGTAGCAGGACGTCAGTCCCCTGTGTTCAGCACTGTAAGCTGTACAGCAGCTAATAGGACCGGATGCTGAACATCTGTAATAACATCAAGTTCCTCACAGTGGCAGAGGTGGCCGACTCTTCAATGAAGGGCAAGGAAGTAAAGTGGTGGCCGACCACACTGGTAAGATTTACCAAGTAACTGGCAGACACCGCAGTGGTGGACTTGGTCGCTCGTGACCAGGAATGTGGCCATTCCTGCCACACTGCTGATTATTTTCACTCTGTCGGGGGTTAGACACTGCACACGAGTCACAGTACACCTGCCCTCGAACCCTAGGCCAGCTGGGATTGCACAGAACCGTGAAACAGTTCTCGGGGGGCGTGACTGTTAACTCCTGACAGGCGTAGCCACACTCGCCGGTAAGGTTGGCGTCTTCAGGGGACCTCTCTTCATTCCTTGGCGATGACCGCCTCAGCCCGAGGTGACGGGTGCAGTGTCAGCCCAAGAAAGCCAGCAACCTTGGTGCCAGGCTGTAGCCCACGCTTGTCTTAAGGCAAAGCAGGGCGCCAGGGTGTGCCAACTGCAAGCGTCTTTCCCCATGAAGACCTTGATGTCTCCAGTTTCAGGTGCTTGTCTGGCTGTCGCAATGCTTGAAGGTTTCTGATTTTCCACGAGTGAGGCAGGGAGCACTTTTGCTTTTTTATTCATGTAGAATACACTGCAAGCCAAGCATCCAAAGCACTGCTATGCATCTGAAACATGGCTGTACTATCAATGGCAAAGATACAGTGCAACAATATAGTTCATTGCAGTACCATTCCAGTACAAGTCCCTCCATGGTGAGGGCTTTCAAATCACTTTGAGGACGTGCGGCATATTCATAATTTTTCAGCAAGACATGATCTTAAATGCTTTCTGCAAGTAAAATTAATTAAGTGGTCTTGTAAGTGCCTGTGATCAACTTGCCATATTTTACAGCCCAATGTCATGTAGTCTGGAGGTTAATTATAGCTTTTACTTGGTGCAGAAGTTTACTTTATTGTTATGTTGCCAGTAATAAACAAGGATCTTGATCAACAAGAAATCGCAACGAGATGGATGTGATTTCACGGATATAATTCAGTCCTTTTTTTACTGTAAGCCTTTAAAAATAAGTGCTTTAAATAACTAGAGGTGTAAGGGAAATAATTAAAAGACCAGCAAGCTAATGCAAACCACATCCACTACATCCCTGCCCCCAGTACTGAAATCTGATTGTGTCTTGGGGACGCTCGTTTGCTGGCTGCTAAATTATGTATGTGTTTTGTGTAAACCTCATGCATGCATTTCAAATACCTGAAAATCCAACCAAATCTGTTTGCCTATCAGATTATTTGTATGTGTCTGGTTTGAAAATGAAAAAGGTTTATTGTTCCGATCTCTGCAAGCCGCATTATTCACAGTGACCCAGTGTCTGCACTCCGGGTAGTGAACAGGCAGTTTTCTCGCTGCTGAGATCTGTCAGGTGAAGCTAAAATTAGCATAGAAAAATAGATTGAATTATGCACATCTGTTTTGTTTTGGTAATTACATGCATTAGACTTGTCTGCTTTATTACTGCTTTACTTTGTTTAATGTGAATTTTATTTGTTGTGCATGATTTAAGTTCACAGGCATTCACAATTAAATAAGCATGATTTAAAGCACATCATTCCATGATTCCAAATAAAGGTTGTTTGGTGTGTATGGTGAAAGAGCCAAAGTGGGGGAAAATGATGACGTGAATAATATTAACTGAAATCACTCTGGAGCTGTTAAATGTAAGGAGATGGGGTGACTGGTGGTTATGTTAACTGTAGTTCAGCAGATCCAGCTTAGCTGCTGGAGAAACGTTTTTTTTTAATTGTTACAAAGTCAGCCTTGTTCACTGATGTCTTCCATCAAATACATTCCTTCTACTGATCTTAACAAGCAGGTCTGAGTTGCTGATGTTATATGAGGTTACCCTGTCATCCCTCTCCACTGCTCCTTGCTTCAGCCTAGCTGGAGCCCAGAGAGCTAATCTCCCCTGAATTATGGAGATGTGATGCATATATTGAGCAGCTCTTGTGCAAAAGTCCTCCTTACTTTTTTTGGGGGCCTTATTTGCATGTAGCTGAAGCCTTGGATGGCTTTAAGGCTCCCCTCTTTGTCTGAAAGTGGGATTCTCTAGGCTCCCTGTCTTAAATAAAACCCTGTCGATAGATTTTGTAGATGGAGCCGGGCATGTCCTGTGACACTACTGTGAGATCTCCAGTTCTCAGTGTGTAACCCCTCCAAGACGTGGCACCTGAATCTCTAACTAGAGAGGAGTGGCGCAAGATGTTCTCTCCCTCTCCAATTGTACTTGAGAAGCCCTGTGCTCCTCTGCCAGGCAGAAATGGGCTTCCCTTAAGGTTCACTGTCAACCGTGAAATGTGATGTTCTTTACAGATTAAAAAAAAAAAAAATTTCCATGACTTCATTTACCTCTTAAATGTCATTAAAATGTGCCCTTACAGTAAGTTTTTGCGTAGACTTTGTACAAAAGAGCTGCCAATAAATTCATCGGAGTGCACTTTAGCATGGGCTGAAAATTCTTCACGCAATACAAGGGACAGGGAGGTAATGTTAAGATACATGCTCATGTGCCAGAGGGTAGAGACTCCTGCTCTTATTCGTTCTAGTGTGCTGTTATGCTGAAACTGTCTGGCTGAGTGACAATTCCATTGCTTTTGGGAAATGTAGCTTTAGCTGTTTTCTGAATGTTTAATTTTGACTTTATTTCCACACGTCAAAGCCTGATCCACCCATCCATCTTCTAACCTCTTCTTCCAGTTCAGCATTGCGGGAGAGCCAGAGCCGACTTGGGCAAGCAGTGGGTGCACAGATGGGTACACGCTGGACAGGGTGCCAGTCCATCATGGGGCAAAGAAACTAACAGAGACATGCACACACTCGCACCAGGGCCAGTTTTTCCAGAGTCCAGTCAACCCGCCGGTGTGTTTTTGGACTGTGGGAGGAAACTGGAGCACCCAGAAGAAACCCACACTAACCCAGGGAGAACATGCAAACTCCATGCTGATAGTACCCAGAGTCTGGAATTGAACCCAGAGCAATGTTAACCACTGCACCAGAGTGCTGCCCTTGAAATCTGATGCACAGGCTAACTTTTCTGTCAAATTACAAAAGCAATGAATTCACAACCCAAGACATTAACCTTGGTTGTGCTGTACTCGGTCCCAATATAGAGTCCGTGTACCATACTGACCCTCTTAACTATTGCTGTTATGTACAACTGGAGTACATATTTCTCAGCCCTGCACAGCATGTGTTTTTCTGAAGAGTTGTTTTGGGACTACAAACAGTTGTGCTCTCTGCACGTGCTGTAGTACTGTTCAATCAATAGACTATTTAAAGGTGTTATTTATAGATTTTTTGTGCTCACTAGCTGTAAAAGGAATCTGTTCCTAAGCCCTGGTCATCTGTGTGTGTAGGCAGAGCAGCTCAGGAAAGCATGCAAGCTATGTGAGAGAATTACCCATAGAAAGAAATTAATTGGGTATGAGCCAAAGGGAAACTTCCCACCCTAATTGAAGTTCAGCACTGTCTAATGTCACTACGTATGGAGCGGAGTTACTTTGAGATCAGCGACAGGTGACCTGTTGACGTGCAGGTCTGTTTTTTCATATTTCATTATCGAACAGCTATAGTTAATTATAATAACTGCAGAATATCTTTGCTAACATTGTATAATATGTTTTAAATCATGAGGGAATGGAGGGGCAGTATACAGAGTGGCAGAATAATAGGCCTACATGGACTCTTCTCTTCATGCATTTCTGCACTGACCTTGAATTCTGTCAAATTCATGACTGTGAAGGGATGGTTCCAAGGAATAAAACCAACTGGACTGTTCCTGTGAAAAGATGAGCAACGATGCTGAGCTTTGAAAGCTCTTTTCCCATTTTTGGCGCCACCCACATTCTTTATAAAGCTAATCTATTGTGTTACTCTGCACAGTTAGCAGTGCAGTTGGTATCAATGAGAAGGACTGTTCTGTCTGTAATTCTACCCTCTGCCTGAAGCATCGTATGCTGGGCTGTTATCCAGCTCTGCAGTCCTTTGGGTTTTTATTCTTCTATTTTTTTTCTCTTTATTGCTATAAGTTGCATCAACCTTGAACTGAGATTATTTGGTCAATTGCTCTAAAATCAGCTTCAATAATGTTTGAGACAATAAGAGCTTTGTGCCACCCCTCCTCCCCTTTTGCTCATGAATTTCACTGCACCCCCTGAGCTCAGAAGCAGCAACAGTATCATTGCCAGAGCTTCTAAATGTTTTGTGGAAAATCTCTTCCCTAAAGTTCAACTAAAAAAGGCTGTTGCAGTGGGTTAGAAAAAAAAGCCTGGCTTGATAACATTGGCACTAGTCTTTGCCCAATTTCTCTGGGTTTCCACCTATACAAATTGGTTATGTCTCTCTTATATGGGCAGATCTGGGATATTTCCCAAGGAGTCCGAAGAGTACAGCTGCTTATTAGAAATACACCCACATTTTTAGCTCTCAGTACGTTCTCTTGTGTGGTTTGGTGAAAATGCGATTAAATCAGTGGTTGGCGACACTTGGGTTTGTGACGCATCCCATAATCTCTCTAATATCTTTGGAATTGTGTAGAATTGACTTTTTGTTTTTAAGAAGGGCAGGTAACGTGTTTGGTCCAATACCCGAGTTTGATTTGAATAAGAAAATGGTGTGTCTAGTCGCTTAAAGAACTTTTGCGTGTTTGCAAGTGAAAGAGCAAAGCAGCTGGTGAGTGCACTTCAAGACATGATGCCAGTAGCGCTCCTTTGTGTTAAAGAGGAATCATGTGGATTCTGTTCATTTCATCCAGCTCAGAAATGAGGCACTGTCATTTGCCACAGCTTTTCCTGTACAGAGAAATGTTTTCTGGATAAAAGCACTCCTCTAGGTTATATCTTATTATTTTGCATTTTTTAGCTTGTGTTTATTCTTTTTTTTTGTATTAAATTTAACAGGGAAGCAAGTTAGGACCAAGCTATCGCAAGCCTTTAACCACTGGCTCAATGTCCCGGACGATAAGCTGCAGGTAGGAACAGCTTTCTGGTCTTTCTGTGGTAGTTAAGGAAACACTTTGCCATGTGTACAAGGAAGTGTGTTTTTACTGGTTTAGTTCCTCACTATGTAAAGCACTATGAAAATGTGATAGTGCTTCCTCACAGAGCAGCTAGCTGATGATAAAACATACTGACAAAAGATCCTACTCCGCAGGTTTTGCGGTAAGGTTGCATATCATGTGAAATGTAGTTAGATTTATGTCTGAGCAAAGTTTTTTTTTTTCCCTCATGGTCATTGACTGGTTTCCTATTTCAGTACTGGCTTTGCTAATGTATACCCACAACTGGCTCGATGCCGTTTTTTGAAGTCTTTCAGAATTGCGGAATTATATCATTGAGATTCTAGGCGGAGAGAAATCAGTTGTATAATGTTTTTTTCTTTATTTCTGAAGCCCTGCAGCTCGATGCAATACGCCTTTCTGTATGAAAAATAGCGGGAGGGTTTGCCGAGCTGGTGGCCTGTGCCTTCCCCAGCCAGCTGCGAGGAAGAGCAGGGCTGGGGGGCTGGTCCTTTCTGTGGCTCATGCCAAGTTCAGAGAGGGAGCAAGTTCCCGTGCAGAGTTATGAGAACTTCTGAATTGTGAATTTTCAACACCGTGTTGTAAATTGGAAACTTCGGGAAAGCGCATCAGTGGCTAGAACTGAAGATCTCTGCCTTAAATTCTAAGGTTTTAGCTATGGCTATGCAATGTTCTTCCACAAGTCAGAATACCAAAGAGGTGTTAAAAGTTTACCATGATCAATCCTTCTTTATGAGCTGCAATGGTGCCTTTTGTATTAATTGTGCTAGAATAAGCCCCTTGATCCACACAGGCCTTGCATGGACCGAGATCAATATGCCAAATGTTAAATTGCCTTTGTCCTTTATTTTGTTCTGTTTAATCTTTATCCTGAAACTCCAGCAGTGAAACAGTTTCTGAGTTTTCCATTGCTTCATTGGTAATTCTGCACCTGTCCCTTCCATCGGATAATTAAATTCCAGGTTAAAAGCTTTTTGGCCTGTTCAAGTAAGAGAAAAAGAAAAAAGATATTGTGCTGGGCAGTGCAGGCACATTAGTCATTTCTCAGAGGAAGAGTCTGACACCACTAATTCTATCGCCTTCTGTCCATGTGAGCCAAAATTCTTCTGGGCCCGCTCTGACAGGATTAGATCACACTTGCTTTATACAGCGTTTGTAGTTCAAGCTTTGCAATGGTATTTAAAAGGAGTTTAAGTGAACCCGACTTTAGATTAGTTATTAAAGCCCTGCACTCAAGTTGAAGACAGGGCAGCTGAATTCGATATACATTTAACCTCATTTCAACTAATGCTACTATGACCGAACAAATGGCAGATTAGACCATGTTTCTGCCAGCAGTTTAGCAACTTTCTCTTTCTCGCAGCCTGGAGAAAGATCAATGCAAATTGATTTTGGCACATAAATATCACTTCATGGGCCATTTGTAGATTTGTTTTTCATTTCAGAGTTGCCACGCTAATGGAGCAGTGTAGGGTTACTACACTGTGTAGGGTTGGGGGGGGGGGTACGTTTTTAAGGAGAATCTCCTAATATGATATTGTGCAATGTCTGAAGTGCCCATTATCTAGAATTCCAACAAAATCAGACACATTGGGATAGTTATGCACCTTTGCCATGACATTTGTCAGAAATCGACAAATTAGAGAAGCATTTCTGGAGACTGTCACTTGACTGTCTAGTTGTACACTTAAGGACTTTTTCTAAGTTTGGCAAGATTGTCATTTTGAAGACTTAATATTCTAAGATCTATCAGGAACACAATTATCCATGCTGTGCAAGTCAGTTGTATTGTGTCCGGAGCTCTTGTTAGTAAATGATATGCTAACTTAGAGGCTGTCAAACCCCATTAAGTGACTCTTTTGTTCTATAAATATTTATTAAAATTCAACAGAGAAGACAGTGCAAATTCCATTTTATTTTATTTTCCTCATTTTATGTGAGTAGATGAAGCTTAACCTCATTATTGAATATGCTTTTCTTTCCATCTCTTGATGGTTATTACAGTGAAGATCTGTTGTACCCACTATGTAAATGCCCTAGCCATTATTAATCCATGAACCTTAATGTGTGCTGGGGCTTCTTTTGCTTTATTAATATATGCATCAGCAATGCATCGAAATGATGAATCTTTTCTGTTTTCGTCCTTATTTATGAGCAATTGTTTGCGTTAACCTACCATGTCATTTAATAATCAAAGGCCACTGCTTCTGGAATAATATCGCGAATCATACAGTTTTTGGCAGATCAAAAGGCAAGCATCCAGCAGATCAGAGCACTATACAACTGTCTTTCCCATTAATGCTGGTCACGTGTGAATAGGGAAACTGAAAATTCCTCCACAGACTTTTCTCAGTGCTGTACTTCTTCCACTCTGGCTCCTAGGGCCTGTTTCTTGAGGTGTAAATGAACGACAAGTGCTCAGGAGGATTAATGAGCCCTGCTGAGCTTCATTCCATGCAGAAACAATGTAGTGGAAGCCAGCTTGCACCTGCTGCACCAAACTGAGACTATACCTCGGGTCATCAGTTATTAAGAAGCAATTCAACGGAACTTGGCTTCCCCCGCCTCCTCCTGCTAATGTCCTTAGCCCTTATTTATTTTTTCTGGCTCGTTTACCTTGTAGCATTCACGCAGCGTTCCACTGCCAGCAGCCAGAGGCCTGAAAATTGTAGTGGAGGAGTCTGGTATGTATTCTCTAGCCCTCGCCATCTTTTGTTTAAGGCCTTTTAACATTCTTAAGGATCTGTGCTTCCCTTCAAGTAGTGCTGTGAGCTTGCCTTGGCACAAGGGACTGAATTCCTTGGTCTTTCAGGAAGCACTTTCATGCAAACTGGGGTAGTTCAGCATTTCAGATCGCGTTGAAGTATTCCCCACTCCTCCAGAAAACAAAAAGGCAACTATGTGTCCTGTCAAACCATTGTTTTCCAATTCTATGGAATGACCCCAACTCAGAAAATGCAATCTGACCTGTGAAGGAGCACAATGTTTTTGTCACGACCGCTGTCACCAGGAGGGTTTGTGTGCTGATTAAGTTGTCAGAATGATTCATTTTTCTAGACGGGCAATCTTGTTCCACCTTGATTTGTATGTAAACCATTTGCAGTTTTTGTTTTGTAAAAAAAAATGTAAGCCTCAGAAGGCTCCCCTTCTTATTCATATATGTCAGAAGACTTTACACAAGCGCAAGCAAGCAGCCAGTTATTTGAAGTATGCATAATTCGAAAGGTTTTTTTTTCTGCTGATGGCCATTCCACCACTGACTTCAGTTCAGTTTTTCTAACATCCTCTGCACGAAATGTGGTATTGATTTTTGCCAACCAAACTGTTTTTCATTATTGTTGATGTGACAACTAATACCCTGGACACCATCAGCAATACATTCCTGAAGTGCCCAAGCTAAGTAACGTCTTCATCTTCTGCACGCCCGTTGGTGCCCGATATGATAAGAGAGTCCTTTTGAGTTTGGTGTCACTAGGATATAGATGTTTCCAATCTTCGAATCTGGATTAATGTAGGATCTGTAATTTGGGTGAAAAACATTTAAGAAGATGGCACTATAGCAATTTTGGAAAAGCTTACTATGCATGGTTATCATGTCCCGTTGCCCTAAAATGTTTCACTTAAATGGCCTTTTCATCTTTTTTTATTCTACACGATAAAATGTAAAACACATCCATTTCACTTCTAATATTGGGGTGTTCTGCTAACTTTGCAGGTGTAATGTTTCCTGGGCTTTGCAATCATATTTTAAAAGTATTGTGAATATCCTTAAGTCTATGTCTATAAAGTGTTGGCTTTAGTTTGTAATTGTAATTTGTCATTTCTACCAGATGTTAGTGTAGTTTCTGGATTTAATTTTTATTTTCTGAGCTATTGTTTCAGTATTCAGTTGAACATTTCATTACCAATGATCCCTCCCCACCGGGTCAGGAAGAGCTTGATTGGAGTCCTAGGGAATTTTTAATGCTGTGCAACAATCCAGTGTTGTCAAGATCCTCTTGCATGAGAGGCCCTGAACTGCAAGACCAAATGTTTTCTGCAACACCACATGTGAAGGATTGTAGGTTATCTCAGACCCCAACAGAACTCTTTAGGCATGGCTGCCGTCTTCATCAGTGTTTCCCCTCACGCTTTACAGTTGCATTATACAACACAGTACAGCTTGACAGAGCTGCCCTGCCTGACCTGCCTAATAGACATGTCAAAACCTTGCCAAGCGTTTAACAGTGGAGTGTCTGCATATTCTGTCACTCGCTTTCAGCGTGGGAGAGCTACTGGAGAAAAGTACAGACACTTATACTTATATCTGCAAGGGCTTTCTCTGTACACAGATTATAGATTGTAGATTGTTACGAACATTAATAATCTATAACAATCTAGTAATTCTCCTCTCAAGGAAAAAGCCTAAAAGTTGCTTTTTTGTGAGCTAGTACCGTCTGTACATTTCTTTTCAGCTTTGTTTTAAAAAGGACCGTTCTGCCATCTATCTAGAATATTATTAGGGTCAATTGAATATGCGAGTGCAGAATAACAAAGATGTGGGAGTCATATTGTAGCTCAGTGTGTTGCACACTGTAGTACAATGTGTTGTTTGTTCTGTAAAAGAGGAAATAATGATAAGCTGTGCTTGCATTTCTTTCTGCTGTGATTCTCACATGCTTTGCACTGATTATAGATGTCAAGGGTTATTGGTATCACCTGATAGGGTTTCTAATTCTTGCATCATTTTCTGGAGCTAATTAGTTTGGGAGTATATCTACTTATGGCAGCCAGACAACTCTAAATAGAAGTGGTGTTAATGTTTTTATAACGGGTCATAAAATCTTAGACTTCTACCAATAAAGCTTTTTAATAGGGATGCAGATGCTTTATTAGGAGCAGATGATGGCAGAACTCACTGAAATGTCATCTTATTCAGATCCATATAGGACATATCTTTAATCTGCTGCAAA